GATGAGTTATATGATATCTTGTAGAGATCCAGTAACTGATCATGGATTCACAAAAATTTTCGCGGAATGTGGATGGGGCATGAGGTGTGGCGAGATAAAAGTTTTCAATGCGTTGAAATAATGTTAGCATCATTCGAGTATCACATTTACTGATGCAACGCTGAAGCTATGAGTGTATTTAAGCACTGTGCAATACAGTAGCGTAACCTGTTATAGACACTATCGGGTGGCGCAACAGACTTTGGAATGCTATTTACGTTCGGTGAACTATACATTCTTGTTGATCGATCTCGACTCAGACAAGCGCGTCAACGAGAGGTGTCCACACACTCAGGTATTTCAATCTCTATCACTTCTTGTAACGGTAATTGATTGCGCAGAGTCAAATTATTCCAAATCCAGCTTCATATCATTAGCAGAGCGATTTTGATTTCAAAGCTCTCATCGTCAGTATATATTCCAGGATTATGTGTAAAATGAAATGAAATTTTGCATGGAAGCGCACGTAACATGAGAAGAATGATTGCTTTATGTGGTAGTCATTTCTTGACCGTTGAGCATAATGCAACCGTATAGGTTAACGTATCATTTTGGTGTCTGATTGAAGTATAATACAAATATTGCAATATACGTTTCGAATATTCTTCTGAAACTGCAGAGCAATTTCAACGGATGTGAGCGTTTACTCCCAAGAAGACTTGTTGCCTCATATGGAAATACACTCATTTAGTGATTATTGGGCAAAATTAATCAGGTATTGATACGGTTTAGCTGATCTGTTGAATTTTCAGTTGTTCTTCAAGAAACACTGTGCAGCATCAGTGTATTTGGAAGATACCGACTGGATGCTAGTGCTTGACGCAGATACGGGTACTGTGAATCCGAATCANGTATTGAGGAATGGATCGATACCAGGGTTGATCTCATCTTCTATGAACGATTCTTCAATTGGGAAATTGCATCTGGGAATTACCTTGTAAGTTACAATCTTCATCAGATTATCGCATATGCACTGTTTCAACGTTTCAATGCTCCTTTGGACTTGCGTTGTATAACCGGTTCACAGTTTAGAGATTGCAGCTGATGATATGATGAGGACACAGCTGTGGACTTATACATACACCCAAAAGTCATGTAATTCATAATATCGCATGTTGTGCTCATTGAATTCTTTACAAGTTCAGCTAATATCATGGAATCAAACAAACGCACTCCATGTTTTTCCAAAAAAATGAGACAGTCCGTCTACAGGTCAAGAACACACCATTCGCTCGCAACTTCCTGAGGAAGTGGGCCGACTGGCAATATACGCAGCCATTGAACTGGAATGGCGCTGATAATGGAGTTTTACAGGTGAGAAGCTTCAAGATGAACAAACCACGAAAACATTTCCAATTCCATCAGTGCTTAATGAAGAGGAGTAGGAATGAATTTTTTAGAGAAGTCAAACGGATAAATTCGTTGCAGTCCTGGCATCTGCAGACTATTGAGTAGATTCATCAAGTTTTGTGGATATTCATCACTCGAACGCCTCATTTTGATCTCGCCATAACTTCAGATTCACATTCTGCAAACGGTTCTACCGGACGCTAAACAAGCAATAAAAAATTGCGATGCAATTTGGCACAAAGGAACAGATTAT